CAGTGTAAGCCGCGACTATTGTATACACACGCCAAAAAAGATTTTTGGCATTTTTCAGTCCAATGGAAATCAATTCATTTATTACTGCAGTGAAAATTCTTGAGCCTCTTAGATAGAGTTTGCTTCCCTGCATATAATGTGAATACATTTTAGTAAATAATTAAATATAAGAGAGAAATAAATATATAAGCATAAACAAATTTAATAATTCTTATAAATAAATTAAATAATCCAAATTAAAACTTACTGGATCAACTGCGTCTCCTATAAACGACGAGCCGTCACAATATCTAATAAAAACTCTATTCCAGTTATAGAAATCTGGAATCAAAATGAACTAATTATAATAATTTATATATTTACCAAAAAAAAAAAAAATCAAATCTCGAAGCTAATATTCATATATATGAATGTGTGTGTATAATGTATATATATATATTTAATTTACCTGGATTAGAATTTTTATCGGAGCTTAATATCCCTCCAAAATAAGTATTAGTGATATTTTTCGTGCTCGAAAGATCGGGATTATTTTTTACTCTGTCCAGGCAGCTTTGCTTGGAGCCACACCATCCACCACCCTAAAAGATCAAAACATCAAATTATATTCATACTATTATACAAAAAATAATAATTTCCAATAACTAATTATAAATTAATATAAAAAATAAAATAAATAAGAAAAATATGGAAAATTGACCGGAAGATAAATCATCCAGCTATTAGCACCATCTCCAAATCCTTTAGCATAATGGTAACCTGCTGGGCTCCCATCTAAGCAAACTGTATTAATGAAATATTAAATCATTAATTAATTAATTCCATTATATTATATTAAATATTTAATCTTATATAAATTAATTATTTTTTTTTGTATATAAGGTTGACCTGCTCCTTTTTTTACGGCATCACCAAGAAGCGTAAGCTTGACCTCTTGACCGTTGACTTTTGTATTCAGCAGATTAAATACACAAATCAACAGAATGTATATTATTCCCATTCTTTATATGAAAAAAAAAATAAAAAAAAAATTATATTAGTGCCATTAAAAGGAAGAAGTATGTGAATTATATATAGTTCACAATTTGTGTGACTTTTTCTGAATCATATTGATTTGAATTAACATGGTATATATGCCCACTTTGTAGTGCCTACATGTGAGCTTCATTTCAATTTGCCACTTATAAAAGATTGGGTCGTGATTGGAATTACTCGTTTAATTTACATCACCTCGATAAATTACTACAGTCAGATGTAAAAAAATATATTAATTTAATGAAATATTAAATTATCGAACTAATTATTTTAGTATATTTTTACAGGGTCAGGTGCTGAAAAAATCATTATTTAAACAAATTGTTAATTTAGCAAATATTAATTTATCAGGATTTTACTGTACGTTCATTTTAACATAAAAATATATGTAAATATGAAATACGGACATTAAATATTAGGGTAAATTACAACCGCCCCATTGAAGTTATAAGTTCTATTCACAAAAAAAAATATTAAAAAATTCCATGATTTTCCAGTAAATACATCGATTCCCTTGAAATTTGTAAATGTCTTACGTAGACACCCTTATGTAGGGAGTCGCATCTAAGAAATTTACAAATTGCAGGGGTTGGCTAATAATTTCTCAAACAAAAAGAGTTTTTTGGTACTCATACTTTTCCTAGGGGAGGTTGT